CTGATCTACTGTAATTTTATCGATTTTAGATTTTTCAATATAGGTCTATTAATAAAAGGCTACCAATTTTCTATAAAAGCACCTAAAAAATAACCCACCCATTATCAAGAGGAAGCTAGCTCACTGAATGACATCTCGCACTGAACTATCCTCCAATTTTTAAATTTTGTTTTTGTCTATACTCCTGAGAAATGGAATTATTGCACTAATCAAGACCCTCAGAATACCTAGTTCTCTAACATATCTAAGAGTTACCTATGAATCATCCAGTAGTTGACAGGTTTTGTGCCATCATGAGTTGTTCCAAATTCATTTTGGAGTATCAACAGGTAAAAGATAGAAATATAATACCAGAATTTCATACTGTAGAAACTGTATTTCAAGAATAAAAAATGAAAATGAATTTGATTTAATCTATATTGAGGGACAATTTCCAACAATGATTCTGTGTTAAATCAGCATAAAATATTGGATGGTTTCACTCAAAGGAGGACTGTAAGGGATGGGGAAAAAGTTAGAGAGACAAATGAATGTAGTAGAGTAAAAATTAAAACAATGAACAACTGTAAACCAGAGACATTTTATGGAGGTGGAAGGGGGAATGGGATCAGAACTGGGGTGGGAAGAGTGTACTGGACTGTGGTGATGGCACATGGGTGAACTGGTGGAAGGAAGCCCATGGGATTACAACTGAGATGAAAAAAATGCAAAAAATGAAAAATGATGTAAAGAAGTAAAAATAAAATTTTATGATTTTCTTTAATAAAAATCAGCATTTCTCCAAATATTTCAAGAGATGTCATTAAATTTCCAAAAGAAAATTTTGAAAAATATGTCCAGCTTTGTGTTCACGTACATTATGCATTTAGATCGTGTGTGTGTGTGTGTGTGTGTGTGTGTGTAAAGTCAACATATCTGGGAGAAAAGTAAATAAACTATAAACTCTGAAATACAAAACAGCAACAACAAAAAATACACGTGTCATACTTCAAAATAGGCTGAAAATCACTGACAGGGAGAAAACGCTAGAATGTTCTGCTGGTTTTCTGTATCAGCAGCTTTTCTCACTGATTTACCCATCCTTTCTTCATTCTTAGAACCAGCTTTTCTAGCTATAACTTAAAAACAAAAAATTTAGCAATTACAGTTTTTAAAGTATCGGTCCCATATTTCTATTGAAATTAATAATTTTAATTTACAGTTTTCCTACAAACAACTCAAAGTAAAAAGGACATTTAATTTAAAGCCTTTGGTCAACTTATAAGGCAAAGTAATTAATTAATCAGGAAAGCAGCATCTACCTACACTGGATTGGAGAAATGTCATAGAATATGCAAATTCAATATCCCCATGCCTGACAAATTTCTATCATTAAACTGCTAACATATTTATTTCCCCCACAATAGCTGGATTTTTGTCATGAATACACATTAAACCCTGCAGTTATTAGCTGTGATGACTAGGTGACAGTGAGGACACTACTTGAGAATTTGCATTTGACAGATCATTGACACACAGTCACAGTTCTTTTTTTTCCTCTTCACTTAAACAAGAATCATGCAATAGGAAATGAAGTAGAGCTATTAGCGATTATTCAGGTTTAATAGCACACATCGTTTTTAGCTGGCGGTTAGAACAATACACAATGTGGCAGAGTTAAACAGAGGCATCAATTATACTCTCAGACCTGTTAATATTTTTGACAATATTTAAATAGCACATCCCTTCAGGGCATGGCTCTTTTGCCCTCTCAGTTACACACCTGTCAAGTATTTAATTTGCCAAAGGGAAACAGTTTGATTTCTAAAGGCAGTCTTAATACTGAAGAAGCAAACTGGAAAATTAAACAATATTGAATAGAAGTAATGGGAATGATATGGGGGGAGGGAAAGTATACTTAATTCAACATGACATGTCAGCATCTGTCATTAATGGCACAATATGATCATGTTCTCCAATATGCTGCATATACCTCAAGTTTTTTCAATTATTCATTCCCTTCATTTTCTAAAGGATAGGAGAATTACAGTGGAATAAAAATCACAGATATATCAAATTATCCAGTAACATTTAAAACTATAAATAGATAGTAACGTGTACCTATCATGTATATGTGAAATTATACACTGAAAACGTAATTTAGAAATAAATAGATAAAAGTTAGCTACTAATCAGATTTTACTAATGTAGCTTCTAAGTTTTAAAACACAAAGCAAAATTCAGTCCTTTTGGTGTAATCATTAAATTATAAACATTAAACGTGAAGATAATAGGCTATACAGAAATTTAAATCTAACATGATAAAGTTCAGAATATTTGTTTAAGTTATAAAACAAAATAAGATGTCTTAAAAGTGTATTTGAAACAGTCTGATTCAGTAACAAATGGAACTGAATTAGAAAACAATAGAGACAAAGTCACAATAAGTGTGAGAAATTAAACGTGATGTTAACATAAATGATAGTCAAGACAGTATCTATAAATGTTGATTTATAATGATGCACATCTGAAACTTATTACTTTAGTAGGAAAATTAAAAAAAAAAAAGGAAAGTAGAAGGGTATTTGATAGTAAAGACTACAATGTGAGAAATCTGTACGATGTGGCCATGAACCAAGAAATGCAGGCAGACATCAGTATGGGGAAGAAAAGAACAGTTTCCCTTAAATCTTCCAGAAGGGACTAACTCTGTAACCTTGATTTTAGCTCCTTATGACTAAATGTTTACTTCTAGCAACCATAATTGTTATATATTGAATTTTTCTTATTTAACAAAAAAGAAAAGAAAAAATAAACTCTCCTCATCTAGAGAATAAGGCTCCACCCTGGGGCAAAAATATAAGATCTGAGTTAGGCTGTGGATAGCAAAAAAAAAGTGTGGGGGGGGAACTATGCCCTGGCAGTAAAGAAAAAAACTTTGTTCTAAATCTGGCTTTATCTTACAAACAAATCTTTACTCTTAAGAAGTTCTGTAATAAAGCAGGATGTGGGCCAGTTGGTTTTCTTGGTTACTTTCAGTATTTATTTCTCCCTCCATTTGAAAAGATGACCAGTCAGTTGAAAGTCCAAAGTATGTAAAACATGCCAACAGACTCAGAATCCCCCCTTTATTACTAGTCTTGAAACAAATCTGTGTCTTTCATAAATAAAACGGCAAGAAAATCACACTAAGTTTCAGATGATGAGATTCAATAAAATAATGTTCAACCGATTTCCAAAGAGATTTCAGTTGTATCATATGAGAAACAGTTTTAAAGTATTTATGTTACTCCCAAAGTGAAACTCAACACCTACCAGGGCTTATTTTTCCCCTTCTTTCAGCAAGTAATATTCCCCATACATAAAGCTGGCCAGAAGAGGATTTTAGACAACTATTTCACTGGAGTAATTTTAAAATATCATTTTAATCATATTTTCATAAAACACAATAAGTACTGAAGATATCTACTAAACTTGGTGATACTCTCTAAAACACCAGATAATTTTCCACATCATAATTTTTCTTATGTTCTGCACATTAGTTTTTCAAAAGCTTGTGAGTCCAATCTGAGAGTGAGAACCTAAACTCAATCATTTCCAGTGCCTACAAAGATAAACACGGCTACATATAATAAAAACACCTCTTAAATTCTTCATGCCGATTCTTACCTTAAGTAGAAATTCACTAAGAAAGACATCTTTAAAGATTCTTGCCTTTCTGGAAACTAAAGTATCTAGATTAAGAAGCTACATAACGTTAGATAAATAACTCCCCTATTACTACCATTTATTCTGCATTCTGCAATCTTTCCCTCCCCCCCCCCCATTGGTACTGTTTTTCCACTGAATGATGGACCTAGTCTTCAAATTTCAATTTTAACCTTAAAAGGCAGAATAAGGGCCCTCCCTGGTGGCGCAGCGGGTTAAAACACAGCACTGAGAATCTAAAGCCGCTTCCGCATGAGTTCGATTCCCACCTGCCCCAGAGGTGACCACATGGCGTGGCAGACCTCTCCTGACCCACCCGCTGCTCCCCTCAGCAGTGTACTTCGTAGATCTGCATGTTCTGCTCCCCACTCTGTCTCTGGTGAAGCCTCTCGCCACCCCTGCACCTCTGGCCTGTACCCCTCACTTCTGTATGCATAAATAAATAAATCTTTAAAAAAAAAAAAAGGCAGAATAATGCCATATCTACTAAATTAATGCTAAAAACAACAAAATGAGAATTAACTTGGACTGAAGGCAAAAATAGACTTATTTGAAACCTTGTAAGGATAACAACCATTTTTAGTAGTTTTTTAAACCTGAGAAATGATGGTGATACTAAGTAAGTTCAAAGAACATCTGACTTCAGTTTTCATTCTGTCACTGTGATACAAAAACTTAATAAAAACCCTAGGACTTTAATGCTCATAATTTTGCAGGAAAAAAAAAAAAAACACTGTTACATTTAGAAGTTCTAATGTTTATCACCATCTGATGCTGTCATGGAAGCAATTGCTACTTACACTCTTTTAAAAAGTGAGAATTGCAATTCATCTAACTGATGACAATGTAATTATTCCTTTAATGTCAAAATAGAGGTGATTTCCCTTCCTTACACACGATTACACATGCAAATCCAGTCTTATCTGAAATCTTGTAAGTGTACTGAATGTCTGAATCTGAATGAGCAAGATCCTATGAACAATGAGCCTTAGTGATGATGTAACCCAAATTTACAGCTATCCACCTTTAGCATATTTTTATTGTGCCCTTCTCCTGTGGGAACTCATTCTTTAGCATCCACACAGCTTTCAACACAATGTCATATCATCTACAATATACAGCAACAACCATTACAAAAATAACCAGGGAGGGAGGGAGCCACAGTGAATCTGAATGTCTCATTTAGAGGTTTAAAAGACTTCATTAACTATTCATTAACACATAAAAAAAATCAGCCTCTCCGATGAGATACAAATCTTTGGTAAGATCTATGCCATGCAGTAAACTATGCTTTAAAGTGAAAGATGCCCTACCTGGTCTTTCAGCTGCTGTACAGAAGTCTGGAGGTTCAGAATCTGAGTGAAGAGTGGACTCTGCAAAACCGACTTCAGAAGGTTCAATTTGTCTTCATTTACTATATCTCCACGTTCTCTTAGCTTGGCTTGCAAACGCTCTGCTGCCTGCAGGGCCCGATTTTTGTCTATATCAAAGAGCAGCATTAATCAGTAACAGGATTCAAAGAACACACATCAACCCATGCCACAGAAATCCCAAAATTCTTTCTTTTGAGAGCACAAAATTGATTTGGGGAAGAAAAGAGGTACTATAATAGATCACTATAAATATGTCTTTCAAACGTTGAAGCTTCTGATAAGACTGAAAGCAGGAAGCTGGTTAGGGTATATGTAATAAGCAAGAAGATATAAAGAACAGAAATTAATTCAAAAGAAGTACAGTTGAGATCTAACACCAGCTATTTCAATTCTTCTTTTAAAACTGAAGGTTGGGCCTCCCTCGTGGTACAGCAGACTGAATCACTGCACTGTAAAGCTAAACCAAGCCGTGGCCACTTCAGTGCAAGTTCGATCCAGGCTGAGAGAAGGTGATCCACATGGCACAGAAGACCTCTCCTGTCTCACCCTCTGCTCACGTCAGAAGTGTACTATGCCAATCTCCCTGTTCCACTCCCCACTCTGTTTCTGGTGAATCTTCTCTCCGCCCCTGCATCTCTAGCCTGTACCCCAGTTCTGTATGCATAAATAAACTTTTTTTAAAAAATACTGAATACTATAGTGATGGCACACAGCTGATGTTGTGATGGGAAGTCCACCAGGATTACAGCTGAGATATTTTGTCAAAAAATCACAATAAAGTCATTAAGTGTGAAAAAGCTGAAGACTAAATGCTCTGTGATTTTACAAAGACTGATATTTTATTTCTTAAATGTTTTAAGTATACATGCAAAAATAAAAAATAATTTTCTGATAAGTGAGTATGGGAAATGCCAATGATGAGTCATAACATGCAAAATTTGACAATTTCATATAGTAAAGGGTAATGGATTCTATAATTGAGAAATACATCACAAGAATATATACCCATCTAAGAACAGTACTTTTTAATATTTAAATATGGTTCCCAAAAGCTGGTATATTTACATATTCATCAAGTTATCTATTAGGTACAAAGTTATATATAAGTAACTATTTTGAGTAAATGTATTTCTAATAATCCTTACTTGTCCATTGGGCAATTAAGTTTCTACCATAAAATATATCAAAATATCTCCATAAAACATGCATATACATACTTAAAAGTTGTTTTTATAATAAAAAGAAACTGTACAGATATATGCCCTAACAGATTAATAATTATTAGTTGTTATATGCTAGTAGTATTATAATAATTACTAATTAATAATAGTATTATTAATAACTAGTATTTCTACAGAAATATATTTTCATATAGTAATAACCAAATGGATTGGAAATATAACCAGAAACACTTTTTATGGTGCTAAATTAAAACACAATGTTACCCAAGATACATATATATACACATATTTAAACAAACAATATTTATTCAAGCACAGAAAAGTCAAAAACAAATAATGAAAAAGATAGGCATAATTTTTTTTTTCTGGGACATATACTGCACTGTGTCCCAGAATACAAATCTAATAGTAACTCCCTTATCAAAAAGGTGCATAATCTGGTAATCGCTAATAGAAAAAAATTACCAAAAGCCCCTTTGTTGTCCACTATTTATTAAGGGACATTAATAGATAGACCAGTAATCTTTGTGATGTGAGACTTTAGTATAAAATGGGTGGTAAAAGAAATGAACACTTACATATCTTCATTATTAGCATACTAAGAACAAAGTTAGGGTAATCATAGCACAAAACAAAATCAGTTCCTTCTCCTTTTTCTACTATTCACTTTCACCCTACCTTTCAAACTCCACCTATCAAGACAGTAGCCACAATCATCAGGATGATGGAGTGACACCTAGAAAGCTTCCAGTAACCATGTCCATATAGTTTCCTAGGAAAGGTGAGGATGGGGGCAACAGGTGACAGACAAGGAGGGACTGGGTATACCAGATCTGAAAAAAACTACTTCTATGACCTAGTTTCTCTAAAACTAAAGAACAGCCTAAAAAAATAAATAAATAAATAAAAATTGACATATTAGCATGTAAAATCTGAATGGTTCAACCAAAATTATCTCAGTAGATATTAAACTGCCTTGAATCATCACTGACGTTTTATTAGCCTGTGTTAACTACTGTTATAAACATAGAAGTAAAACTCAGGAATATTTTTTTTTTAAAAGATTTATTTATTTGTACATATAGAACTGGGGTACAGGCCAGAGGCTCAGGGGCGGTGAGAGTCTTCACCAGAGACAGAGCGGGGAGCAGAACAGGCAGATCGACGAAGTACACTGCTGAGGGGAGCAGCGGGCGGGTCAGGAGAGGTCTGCCGCGCCATGTGGTCACCTCCGGGGCAGGCGGGAATCGAACTCATGCGGAAGTGGCTTTAGCTTCTCAGTGCAGTGCTTTAACCCGCTGCGCCACCAGGGAGGGCCAAACTCAGGAATATTTTAATTGCCATATCAGAAAATACGAGTAAAGCAAATGGAGAATGGTCTTCTTAAGTATTAAAAATACTGTTAACAGGCCCTCCCTGGTGTCCCAGCAGGTTAAAGCACAGCACTAAGAAGCTAAAGCCACTTCAGCATGAGTTCGATCCCTGGCCCCATAGGTGATCCACATTGCGTGGCAGACCTCTCCTGACCCGCCCGCTGCTCCCCTCAGCAGTGTACTTCATCGCGCTACCTGTTCTGCTCCCCACTCCGTGACTGGTGAATCCTCTCACGGCCCCTGCACCTCTGGCCTGTACCCTAGCTCTGGATGCATAAACAAATAAATCTTAAAAAATATATATATATACTGTTAACATCCCAGTGTTATCCAAAGACAAACATGAATCAGAATGGGTTTACATTAACCTTTATTAAACCCCATAACTGACAGAATATCTCATATGTTTAACTTTTGCTTATAAACAACATGCTTTTTATAACACTTCAGAATGAAATCTTGCCAAATATAGAAAGACATTACCTGGGTTCAGTTTTAGTGGATAAAAATTCTTAAGTGATAGAAGAATCTTGTTATGCAGAACACAGTATATTTCAAAGATCCTAAGAGGAGAAGCTTCATTTTTTATTAATGAAAAAAACAAGACTTACATTTTTTATTAGTGAAAAAAACAAGACTTACCTATAGTTTCTAACATTTTTTTTTTGAAGTTCAGTATTCTTCTCTACAATGATTATAAACAGCCACTAAAATGAAACTCTAAGGAGAAAAGAAATAAAATGGAATGGTTATGTTTTATCAGAACTTTATAATTATTCTAAAACAAAATACTCTAACACTACTGTTAAGTCTTTTAGTGAACTTAAGATAGTTTTCTTTATAGGAAAAGAAAGTGATCAGTTTAGAATTTATTCATATTGTATTCACAGATAATACTTACATAGTAAAGTGACAGACATAAAATCTGCTATAAATAAGATGGTAGAATTATAGAAAGGATGCCCTTAAGTGCTTCTTAACACAAGTCACTATAATCTTAGATTTACTTACAATCCTTACCTAAAGAGTAAGGAACTTACTTGAGTCTGCATGAGAAACTATTTGGGCAAAAAATTAAAATGCAAAATATACAAAGTGTGATACCGTGTTTGAATATCTACAGTCTTACCTGGATAACAAAGTACACCTTAATTCAATATGTATTGAATTAAGTAGAAATGAATTGTAACACTCAAATAATGTGAGTCAGTGGAATATATTAAGCTACAGACAAAAAAAAAAAAACATCTGAATGCGAGCACATTATTAAATTAAAAAATGTCTCAAAAGATCAAAAGATTTTAAAATATCCCTCTCAATATAATGCTCTCCTTTTTATCCCGTTCAAAGTCTAACCCCACAAACATCATCTTTTTTGAACAGTAACCTAGAGATTTTAAAATATTTAATAGAGCTCTCCATTTGCAATGTCCACATCACAAACACATCTTTAATTTTTGCTGTTGAAAATTTAGCACCATGTCCATAGCTATCCCTGTCCTTTCATTGTAGAAAACTCTGAGTCATGAGGAAATTTGCCAGTCATTCCTTCAATGGAGAAAAGTATTCTACAATCAGGCATTCTCATCCTTCTTCTGGCAAACATAATTTCTTTGAAAAGGACCTAGTTACCATTGGTATTTCTCTAAGAGAAAATGTATTTGCCAGATTCGGAGGGGCATAGATTTCTGTGGAGTATGCAGAGAAAAGAAGTACACAGTAAGCAGTTCCTGAAAAAAAAAAAAAAAATGCTGTCTAAAAGCTGACCTATGAGTCAGTTATATGGAAACAGAATACTGATTTTTACAGAGAAACTCTTAAAGTTATTTAAAAAAATAAGAAACTTCAATTGCACGTCACTGACATTAGCTCCCTCCCAGATAAGAGTTCCAGTACTATGGAATTCAGTGATTTAAAAAATTAGTGTTATAGTCTCTCTTCTCCGATATTCTCAAAGGAAAAATGAAAAAAAAAAACTTTTATAATATCCTCCAGGTGAATGCACAATTAGTCACCATGACAAAGAAAAGAAATTAGCAAAACTTACTTCTGTAAGTTTTAAAATTCCAACACCAGGGATTCACTCTAAGTTTCAACAAACTCATTTGTGACCACAGAACTGTTAAGATAGACAGATCAAAGTCACTCTCATCAAACTGAAAACATGAATTATCCTTTTCAGCCCTCTACCATGCTCTCCTTTGTTCCCATCTCAACACTACACAGAAATAGAAGGGAAGCTGGTTGATAACATGGATCATAGCCACTGGGAAAGACTTAAACCATTACTTGTCAGAAGAATGCCAAGTACTGGGTGTTTTTTGTTGTTGTTGTTTGTTTGTTTTTTTGTGTGGGGGGGGATTCATATGAATAGTGAGGATACTGAATCTGACAAGCAATAGAGAGGAAAAAATGAGATGTGAATGTAAAGCAAGAATGACACTAATGCTGGAGCAGAAGTAGCAATAACTGCCACTTGGACAGTAGACAAGGCATGTTATCCAGTTATGTCCTTGAATCCTCATATAACGCACACTTACAATGAAGGGACTTAGGCACAGAAAGGTTAAGTTATTTGCCCAATATCACAATATAAGGAAACCAGGATTTGAATTGGGGGCAGTATGAGCTGCATCAATTAACAATTTAACTTCTATAATGTTGCTGCCTGATAAAAAGGAAGATTCTCCCTCCCTATAATTCTCTCTGATAATTTCCAAATTGAAAACTGTACTCAACAAAAGTAGAAACCAATGGAAGAAATAGGTGAATAAAATCTGAAACGGGCTGGTTTAGATAATTTAACGTAGCCAAGAAACCATAGAAGTAAATCAGAATTAAGGAGTTTAGAAACTATGAGCAGAATCATACTAGTAGAAATCAGTACTAATCATTGTACTAACTGTTAATATAAGTTAAGACAAATAACTTTAAAATCTAAGAGGTAAAGAAAAAAATCATCCCAAAATAAGAAGCTTTTTTATATTAATACTCAAAGTACATTAAAAAAACATGGCTTACGGGCCCTCCCTGGTGGCGCAGCGGGTTAAAGCACAGCACTGAGAATCTAAAGCCGCTTCCACATGAGTTCGATTCCCGCCTGCCCCGGAGGTGACCACATGGTGTGGCAGACCTCTCCTGACCCACCCGCTGCTCCCCTCGGCAGTGTACTTCGTTGATTGCCTGTTCTGTTCCCCACTCTGTCTCTGGTGAAGCCTCTCACCGCCCCTGAGCCTCTGGCCAGTACCCCAGCTCTGTATGCACAAATAAAAATAAAATCTTAAAAAAAAAAAAAAAACATGGCTTACATGTCAAGCTACTAAGCCCCTCAAAGCAACAAGAATAAGCATATGACAATAATATAAAGAGTTATTAGTTCCCCTCTAGGTACTATTCATGAATTCTATTTGCAGCCATCACTATGGTTATAATTCCTGTTTCTGTAGTCATGGCATTCAGCAGTGTAAGATCTATCAATGATAGCTCAATGAATTCAGTATCGATGAGGCCTACAATGCTGAACACACATACTATCATAGCCAAGTAGGTCTGGACTTATTTTAATCATCTTACTTGCTATCACATCTTCCACTGCCTAAACATCACTGTCTCCATATTCCAGAAAAAAAGAACAGAGAAAAGGAAAAGCGTTACACGAGTTACAACTAGTAAGCCAGAGGTGTTAGTTTTGGATCCAACTCTGCCTGATTTCAAAGCCCATACATGGTCACTCTATCACACTGCTATCTATTTTCCAAATTTTCTTACAAAAATAAGTTGGTATATGGGTAAGGATGTTCAGGACAATGCATTAAGCACTAAGTTGAAGTTGTTAGTATTTGAATAAAAAAGTGGAGGGAAACTTTTCCAAAAAAATAATATATGCATATCTAAAAAAGCATAGACTATTTCTACAAAATTTCCAAAAGATGCTTAATAACGGCATGGTGGTGGAGAAAAGTCTAAAGGACACCAAGTAAAACTGATTTTGTGCTGCATTTTTTTTGTGTCTTTTAAATTTTGTATTACTCTAAAATTGCCATATTTAGCAAATAAAATCAGGATACCTTGTTATATTTGAACGTAACATAAATCATTTTTTAGTGCAAGCATATTCCATTCAGTACTTAGGAGAAATTTATGATAAACAATTTGTTCGTGATGTGATGTTCAAATTTAAGTAAGCATCTATTATTTCATCTGGAACCTTATTTATGTATACATTAGCCTAGAAAGGAATTCAATTATTTAAATAAACTTTATTTAAGATCTTTATGACTCCTAGAAAGCATTAATGTAACAGCAGAGTTGACAAATCCTTTATAAATCTCTAAAGATTTTACCTGTGACTATATAAAATATGATCTGGTTGATAACACTAGTTTCAGCAGAAGTTAAATATCAAACACAGTATTTAGAAACAGGAACAGGTTAATTAACAATCATTTTACTTTGCAACAAGTTATACTGGTAAAATGTAGGCACAACCTTTATAAATAGAGATCCTGTGCTTGAAACATAAAGCAAATATCTCTGTCCTATGCAGATTATATGGCAACTAATAAGTGGCAATGTTTATATTAAAAATAACTGTACAAGAAAAGTGTCCCAAATGCATACAATTTTCTAGTTATCTTAAACAATTTTGATGAAAAGAATTACAACATTAAAAGAGCTTGCTACAATGGTTGTAGCTTGTCAAAGTCGTTCAGCATCTGTTACTGCATTTAAATTTAGCATTTGTCTCATCCATAGCTGCCTCAGCACTACCTGAAGTCAGCAAAGGCAAGGCTGCAGACATTTGCAGATAGTTCATCAAAAAGCTATTTGATCACAACAACAAAACTTGCATTTCCACTCATCATTCATATTCTAGGATAACATCACCAAACTATTGTTCTAAAGACATAAGAACGTGACACTACCCACCAACATCATGCCGTCATCCAACAGAAAGCAGTCTTTTCTGAGCATCTGTTCTTTTGAACTCTCCCTCACTTTCATAGGCTTTATCAAAAAAAGCATTTATGAACATTTTTATTCTCAAGTTGACATTTATGATCTTCCCAACTTGCTTCAACAATAAGAGTATATTAATTCTACTTTTCTCCTGCAAATCAAAGAAAATCAAGTATCAAGAACCTTATCTCTACAACATATTTCAAACTGATAATCTTGTCTTTCTTTTATAAAACAAAACCATAAATCACTGTCCAGAATGAAAAATGCTGAGTGGTCACAGGATTAGGGAAGAATTCCAATTTTGTTATCTACTGATTCACAAACAAGCAGGAGTACCTTCATGACCAGCTTGCCGCTGGGTGTCATAACTAGAGAAGTGAGAACACAAGCCAGGGAAATCACAAGCAAGTGAATGGAATAAAAACAAGTGAACAATTAAAATACACAATGACAAAAAATAAACACAAACTGCAAAAGGAAGGGTTAAGAAAGCTGCCTAGAGGCAAGAACACCTATATAGCATTCAAAATAACAGACAGAAGTTAGAGTTGATGCAGTGATAGAAAAGATCTCCCTGTACAGATGCAGAGCATATAGTAGCTTCAGAGCACTGCAAATGTTTTTTATATCTGTAATGGAGACCAAAAGAAAGTAAAAAGAGATAGTGAGGCTTGAGATGCATGTAAAAATTAAAATACTGAGATTTCATTCTTAAGGAGTTCAGATATTTAAATTTTAAGTTTATTTTGGCATAGTGAGTGAAATGATCAAGCTTTGTTTTAGAAAGGCAACTCTAATCATGGTCTGGGAAGCATGAGAAATGGGGAAAACAAACAAACAAAAATCCCAGGCAAGAGAGATTTAAAAACTAGAGAATAAAGGTGAAAAATCAATAAAAATGGAATAGATATACAAGCATTGATGAAAACCTCCAAGCAATGAGATCTGGTAATCTAGAAATAAGATAGATGAGTTCAGGATGAATCACAGTTTCTCTTTTTGAAATGCTAACTGGATGATAAAACCATAAAGAGCAACAGGTAAGTGGTGTGACTATTCTAGAAATAAAGATGGTCTCATCAAGAATTCAATTGATTATTTTTGTACGTTATGGTTCTACTATAGGTTGAATTGTATCTCCCCAAACTTAAATGTTGAAGTCCTAACCCTTAATACAATTATATTTGAAAATAAGATTTACATAGATAATTAAGCTGAAATGAGACCATAAGGATCAGCAAAATCTGTAGCCTATTACGAAGATACTCCTTTTTCTTCCACATGCACAGACCCAGGAACCACCACGTAGAATAGATACATAAAATAGGTATATACCCGAAAACAAAGCAGTGTTCTCACCAGAAACCAAACTATGATACTATGCTTTCGAGTCTTTAGAACTGTGTGGAAATAAATTTATGTTATTTAAGCCTCTAAATCTATCTAAGTATACGGAATTTGTTGAAGCTCCAAGTCTACAGATCTTCTCGCAACTAATATAGATTTAAAATTTGCTATAGGAATAATTTCCACCAAAGAATAGGCTAGTCTACACAAAATGACACAATGTTTCTTTAACCATAACCAAAGAGGACAGGGTGGAGTACCTCACCCAAGGGAAATCAATTAAAATTTGACTTTAAAGGTAGAACAGATTTAGATTTTCTCTTGGACACTTAAGAAGAGAAACCTTGAAAGAATAAACCAATTAGTGATGAAATTAGTATTGAAAAGATTGGTGGATGAGTAAGAATGAAAAGGCTAAAATAGTTTTAAGCGCAAGCCTGAGTTATGAGCAAAACAAGTCAGCTTATAAAAACAGAACACAACTGAAATTAAATAATAGAATATTCTTTGGGAGATGCAATACAGTAGGTGAAAAATAGAGCAGTTGGTCCCTAAGATGCAATCCCTGACATTTGTTCTTAGAATGAGTTCCATTTGCCAGGGATAATTTGTATGACCTGTTCTGTTATTCCATTCAAGTAAACCAAACTTTCATAGTGTATTTCAGTAAAGCATCATTATCAGAACATCCCAACAAACCAACCCTTCAATCACCTCTGCTTAAGAAATACCTTTCCTCCTTTAAGCACTCCGTTTGGCCACTGTAATTCCCACAAAATGTTCAGGGTACTTCAAATCAAAGGTAACTTAAACACCAAGATTATTAAGAATCCTATAGGGAAGATGGTTACAACAGAAAAAGAAGGTATATGGCAGCTGCTAGGTGAGTGACTAAAATACTATAAAGTTTTCGGTTGTGACTAGAGACTGAGTAGAATGCCCAGGTGTCAACCAAACAAAACATATATCTACAGCTGAAAAAGTAATTTCATTCTATACATGAAACTGCAGTAACTGCGAATAACATTTACAAATAATGAACATATTTCTGGCTAATATATTGCAGTCCTGGAGGCCAGAAATATAACTTCAAACTCCACAACAAAAGTAAAATTAAAAATGTAAAGTACAATGAAATAAATACAAAGGGAACCTATAATTTAGGAACCAAGAGGAAAAAGATGGAAAGACTATACAATCTAAAAGAAGATGAAAACAATGGGAAAAAAAAAGTAAAAATGAAAAAAAGTACACACAAAAAAATAAATTTAAAGCCTTGTATTCACACTAAATATAAATGGATCAATTTCATTAAAGATCAGACTCACAATACAGGTCTCAAAAATTAAACTGAGATTTTCAGACTATAGTTTACTAGCTATTTAACATTATTTACTGTTGAAAAAATATAAATAATAAATGCTACATATAAGTATGTACATGTCATTATATTAAAAAATGAACTGAAAGGATATATTCTAAAATCAACTATAGTACCAATACTTTCAGGGGTGAGAAAATGAAAGTGGCATTGTCACACCAGAGAAATCAAGAGGACTTTGTTCTTCCCTATAATTTAAGGAAACGGTACTTTTAAATCTTTAAAATTTTTAAAACATTTTAAGACGCTATAAATTACTTTAAAGAGCAATCCAGCTAGAACATTCATGGACAAATGGTGAAATATTTAGGATTTGCTTCTATATATAGAAGGAGACAGAAGAAATTAGACTTGTCATGAACTAATGGCTATAAACACTAAATGATGGATACTTAAGGATTCACTCCAAGTTACAGAAACAACCTGAATGTTCACCAAAGGTTGAGTGGACTAAGATGTGATATATATACACAATAGTTACTTCAAAAAAATAAAGATGAACCCTTGCCATTTTTGATGATATGAATGGAACTGGTAGGGATAAAGCTAATTAATTAATTATTAATTTAATGAAATATACACTGTAAAATGTGTGTTTAGAAATTCTCAATATAAATTAAAAATATGAGTGATTAGTAGTAAATGTAAAAATGCCAACATTTCATTTTCGAGTAGAGATGACTATTTCCTTTTAAATTCACAATACTTTTCAAATCCTCTCATCAAACTTCAATACAAAAAGATTAAAAAATTTATTTGAAATAATTTAACATTTAATGGAAAAATTGCAAAAATTTTTCCCTCCACCCAGTTTCCCTCCACCCAGTTTCCCCTGGTGCTAATATCTTACATAACTATGATGCACCACTCAAAATTAAGAAATTTACATAGATTCCACATAGGTTTAAAATAACGAATGTGCCTTATTCAAAATTTGCAGTGCCTTTTTTCTACTGTAACATCAAATCCAGGCTATCATGTTATATACAAAGTTTAAGTCTTTCCTTGTCTTTCATGAAATTGACTGTTTCACAGGACAAGATCCCTCAACTGAATTTGATGTTTTCTCATGATTACCCTGAGATTGTGTGGCTCTTTTGAAGACAAGAGGTTAAATACCCTTTTATCGCACTAGGCAATAAATATCAATATGTTGGTGCTATAACCTTGACCATTTTGTAAAAGTAATGCATAGTAGGTTTCCCTAGTGTAAAAGTACTATTTTTATTTTCAATATTCAAATGATTAGTAATAAGTCACTAAATCCAATCTACTCTCAAGAGAAGGGAGATAAAGTTCCATCTACTGAAGGGAGGGAGGATTCTCTACATGCATTGTTTAGCGTTCTTGAGTAATTTTCTATTTATATATCCATCCAATTGTTATTTTATGTAGTTATATTAGTATTAATTCCAGGACATTTTATTCTTTCAGTTATAATGCGATACTAAGCTAATTTTGATGTTCACACAATTTTCACCAATGGAACTTCTGTGAGATATTCCGACATGATTTCATTATGTTTTAATTTTAAAAGTTCTTGAACACTTCCTAATTTGACAGTATAAGCTGCTCTGGTACAGCAAAAAAAGATGCTGCCTTCAAATTGATAAATAGAAAAAATTTGCTTTTGCTGAATACTACCAGGAAAAATAATAAATCACTTAATTCTAACAAAATTAAATGAAATATTATGAAAAAGTTCTTTCAAAAACTATCAACTGATAAAGAATATTCATTTTACCATTAAAGATAAAGTTTTATTCAGATTTCCTAATGACTATCTGCTTTTATTTTACTAAGTTATTTTAGAAAAAATGTTTGGGGGCAGACCTATGTTCCTGCATTAGACAACTCCACATGAGGTAGAGCTGGGCAAGAAATGAGCATATACACAGTGCAAATCAAAATTATCACCTTTGAAAATAGAGTACATAAATACAAATGTTTTAAGTGAAATAATTATCCTCCTACAACATTAGTGGGGATATAGGATGGTTCAGTAGCTATGGAAAACAATATGAAGGTGCATCAAAATACTCAAAATAGATCTACCATGTGATCCAGAATTCCACTCCTATATATCTACCCAAAGAACGTAAAAACACCAATTCTAAGGGATACCTGTACTCTGATATTCACTACAGCCCTATTTACAAAACCCAAGTTATAGAAGCAACCAACAGTTGAGAGAACTAAGAAGATGTGTATATACACAATGGAGTAATACTCAGGTATTAAAAAAAATAAATCTTTGCCATTCTTAGTGACATAAATGGAACTATAAGGGATAATGCTAAGTA